ACAAAGACGTACAAGACTGTCGATGCTGAGCTATTCACTAATGACCAGACGTTAACCCGACAAACGTTAAAGATTATTGAACCGTGGGAAATGTCCAGACTCATCCATTGAGTCTGGACGCAATTTGGTGAAATAACGTTGTTTTATTAATCCTTCAATGATATCAGTTGCTGCGTGCGCGAGAAAAATATTAGTAAAACATTAACCAATTTATGGTGGTAACCAGCACTAGATGATAGTGGATTTTAAAGGACGTTGAACGCACTCATCATCAAATATATATATATATATTACTTTAACTTTCCTATCAGAGTTTTCTATGGCAGTCCTTCTGGCACGTACCTTTGCACTACCTACTCGCAGGCCAAACGAAGTATTTATGCAACAATGAAGAGAAATGTATTTTTATTCAATCATTCTGAAGGGTTTCCTCTTTACCATAATACAGTACATATTTACATTAATGTCTCCAAAGTAAGGTGGGCGGTCGCGCTCAGACTATATAGCCATTCGATAAAACCGGATCGAGAAGAGTTTAGCCGACAATGGTAACCTAGAACTCCGCTTTAGAGGGGTTTCCCACCTCAGGACATCAGCTATAAGATATAGACTATTACATTCGCCTCACTTCAGCAATACCTTGAAGCCGCTCATTGTGGTACATTGACAGCTCTCTTAGCTATCATTATAGATGACTAGGCTTCGACTCCGCATCAGTAGCGGCCTTCGGAGGAAGACACATTAATGGCCATATTCTATGCCTGTTAGCGTTCAAGTGAGAGCGGCGGACTTTGAAGGTAAGCCTTCTGTAGCGCGAATGCTACAATATTAGCAATAGCTACCATACGGAGAACGTAGCCGCTACCTACAATGAAGCACATGGCAACCTCACACCACTCTACCTCTTCGATGTGTTGTCCTGTGTGGGTGTTCATTATAGTGCTCAAGTATCGATGGAAATATTTTCTGTTGTATATATTTGTTGTTTCGGAGCTCTAGCACAGTGTACATTTAGCAAGAAAGAATAGTTTTTATCTATTGTAATACTAATTGCGGTTGTTCTGGATGACGGTAGAGTAATCGTTTCTTGGAGCCGAAGCTTCTGTGTCGTGCCATTGGAGAATCTTAGTAAATGCAGTGTTTTAACTTGTAATTTACCCTGAACGGCACTATACGATCAACTGCTCTTTGACGTTATACAATTGTGCATAACAGTATAAGAAACATCGTTGTCACTCGATGGCTAAACGAAAAAGACAAGCGTCTATTTTTAACAATGGGTAGAAATGTTATTGAAAATAAATTTACATTACCACGTAATTGATACATAAATTATATTTATATGTGCCGTAAAATTCGCAACTATTCATTTCGTATAAACCTTACTCTCTGTACACCGGAAACCAAGTCTTGATCAATTTTTTTATTATCACCTAGCATATTACTTCATTGATGTAAATATGAGTAATATATTTCCCTAATGATATGTTTCACACTGCCTATGTGGTAATGATTTTCTACCTAGGTTGAGTAATGTCACTTTCACAAAACAGTTGCATATAAACAAATGGTAACATAGCACGTACCCAAGATAGCAGAGGAGATCATTTGGTCATGCAGAATTTCGTGTATATCCTGGTGCAGTCATTTTACCCTCTTTGATACCACGACGAGCTTAATATGCTAATTTATAGAACACCGGTTGGTTAGATGACAGCCGTCGCTGTTACCGATCTTATTTTTACGAAACGGAGACTTCTATTGGCCAGCATGACCGCTTACACGCTAAATTTTGGACGGATATGCGTGAATGGCGAAAGCCAGATCCATGGGCCAGAGAGGTTCGGGGAGATGCAGTGACGTATGTTTATGAACGTATCTGGACACACGTAATACATACATGTGGGTCGGAGGACGTGTATATTGGTTCTGTGTCGCTCATCCAACGATGGAGTGACCCTTGACAAAAGTGTTTAACTGCTTAGCCTTAGTAAGAGGGTCCCCGAGTCGTCTTTTTCCCGTTCTTTCATGCTGTGCTCCACGCGGCCCCGTGCCTAGCCTTGCCGGCTCAGCATTGATAATAGTGGCGGGCAGATGGTGTTGAGATGGTGTCACTTGGGCTAAGAGTTCCACCCAGAACGGGACATTGAGTCATGTTCCGCTGAGGCAGGGAGAATAGTCAGGGAGAGTTTTGCGATGGGAGGAAGCAAGAAGAGTGGTAAAGAGAACTGACATCTGGAGAAGTTCCCAACGTTCCAAGAAAGGACGCATACAGACTGCTGGGGTGCGCTTCGGGTACAAGCAATGGTTGCATAGTCTTCCTGTCCTGCAGGCTGCACTCTGAGAAGGCTCAGACAGCAACCAGCCCTCCTTTAGCCTCTTGAAGAGGCTGATGTTGGTGTGATTCGATACAACTGAGAGTAACCAAGAGGAAGAAAGAAAAAGACAACGATGGTTGTCCTGGCTCCGGGTCCATTTATGCTTTACATACTACACTGAGAGCCTGTTAGACGGTCCTGAACAATTCTATTGGCGATGGAGCAAGGCCTCGCTAACTCGGCAAGCATAAAAGATTTGATAGAGAGCAGTTTCGGTCATTCCACGGAGAGACGAGGCGCATGAGAAGGAGAAAAAGCACGGGGAACGGATAAAAACGTCTGAGCAAGGCGACCAGAAAAGTAACATAGTCAAACGTCGAAGAAGATCTTTGAAAAGAAGACTGCAAAGATGAATACAGAAGGGGTCAAGAGAAAGGCAATCAGCGGCCTGAAAAAAGGCAACTGGATCGAGTAGCTTTTGAAGTTTAGGAAGAAACCACAAATACTGTAAGAGGCTCGGGAAAGAGGTAAGTAGGAGAGGACCAACGACGGAGCTCTTTCTATTTTTCGCGAGAAGAGGACTTTTGCAGACGAATTCTTCAGAACACTCATCACTCATCATCTCTCCCTGTCGGACGCCAGTCGTCGAATCCTTGACCGTCGTTTCGCCGAGCGCTTCCCAATGATAAAAATGAAGAATTATCTCCTTAGTAGTAGATAAATAAGACGAAGAGCACAGGCCAATCAGTAAGCTTGTATAGAGAAACGCATAGGTCGATTACCAATGAGAAAAAAGAACAAAGGTAAAGCTGTAGAAGGACGCAAGAAGGAGGTAGATGACTTTGTGACCATTGGTTTACGCATATACGTTTCGTTGTAGCAGTGGCACAGAAGCTGTACAAATGAAAATAGATATTACTCTTCATCTGAGAACCGATCGAAAGGATTTCGGCAGCTAGGAGTTAAGACCCCGAGTGTAGAAAGAAATAATAGGGTTGAATATACACACGGCGCAACGGTGTATCTTGAGGTTAGTTATAATGCGGATGACGAACGAAAAAACAAACAGGGTTCAGTCTTGGTGGCATGCAACTTGTCAACTGAACTAATAAAGTTACTGTAATATGGACCAGAAAGGTAACGGCTCATGTTCGAATATACGGACTAATAAAGAAGAGGCTAAGGTTGCTAACGTGAAGACCAAGACATATTGCGCTAATATTGTGAAACAAAACACTGTAGTAATCCCGAAGGAGAAGTCATGTATCCCATGGCACAGCAGGAAATGACGTGCTGAGCAGCGGTCAGGTCTGCGGTGAATATCTCCAATTGATCAACAACGAAGTGAATACTTCATACAAAAGACAGATCATTATTGGTTATGCTACGTTACTGATAGCTCGCTGGTACCTTTGAAGACGACGCGTAGTCGTGGATGTAGCTGAAATTTTCCGCTGCACGGTACCGTACTTACCTGTAAATAGAAGAAAAATAGCAAATATAAGACATTACCGCAAAGACAAGCCGTTAGTAAACCTTTCCCGCTTTCGTGTCGCAGTGGATAAAACGATGTCAATAATTAACTACTTGCTTATATACAAAACAGCAAAAGTATTCAAGACTTTTAGAGCTTTTTTTCTTTAGCCAAATAATAGAAGTAAATAATCCTAACGTCTCCGCCCATCCTGCGGAGGCGAGATAAGTCTGAAATAATTTTATAAGCAGAATTAGCGGTTCTTACTTTCAGACGGTTGTTTTGTCGCTACCGAAATGTTATCTGCAGTTAGTGTACATATATACCTTAAAAGGCCAATCATTAATTGGAAATTCATCGTCAACATGGAGCAAGCATCCTTGAAATGTGCATGCCATTATGTGATAGATGTGCATGAATTCAAAGTCCCGAGTGGAGAAATACGAGGATTTAATACAGTGAATATTATTAGTGATTATATTTTTGGGTAGGATCATGTTAGCTAGCTATTCCTTAGCTAGAGGAATAGAGGAAACCTGGGGACCATCTATCGTCCACAGTAATTGATATTTTATACTTTGCATTTTACCACTTCGGTACTATATACGTTACTCTTTGCCAACTTTGCAGCCTAACGACGTCGTAACTCTGCCTATTCGCTGGCTCCTTCTTAAACAATTGAGCCGCGTCATCAAGCTACGCGACGCTGTAGCTTGTCGTTGTGGTGGCGTTCTCACGGTCAGAGGCTGCTGGTGACTTGCAATCGAGCTGGTCTCTCCACGCAAATTACCAAAGACCAAAACACGGCTTATTCTTAGCAGTTTTTGGCTGGCCGAAGCTAAAACGAAAACAACTCGGGGGGATCAGTGTCAGCACTCAGCGTTGAACATGCAGAAGTGTAAAACTCTTCATTGTCTGGCTAATCTAGGGAAACCCTACAATTGGATGCCGCTATTATTGACATTTGTCAACCATTGCCACTGTGCCGTGTGGTCGATTTGGTCGGGATTGAATTTGAATGAACGAGTCACGCCCCGTTTTCCTCGTTTCGCGAATTTACAGCGTAAGTAGAAGTTACCTCTAATCAACATTTTTAGTATTATGACTCGTGAAAAAATATTGATCGATTGCCTTGATTTCGTTTCAATTTACAGGGAACTTAATGGTAACTAAGTACACAAGAAAAAAAAACTTGCTTCTCTAAGTTCAACTGTTACATTTACTCTTAATAGCCAAATGTCTCTTGGTACAACCAAGACGTATTTTATAAGAAGGTTTGTATAAGCGAACGGTATTACATAGAAGAAAGCATATCATCTACTCGAGATAAAAGCACGTGCACGTGATATTCTATCGTAATTTCGTATTGGAGATCTCATTGCTTGCTATAGCGAGGCCGAAGAGACCTCTTTCTAGTTTACATAGATACTATTTGATGTACTACTTTTTCTCATAATATTTTCACCTGCAAATAAGGCATTCAAATGCAAGCTTCAGTAGCTGTTCACTGTCAAACGTCATATCTAGTAAGATTTCGCGTTTCATAGTAACGATAGTCATTCATTAGATCGCGGTTTTTATCGTCGGAGCTCTTTACGCAGACGTTCTGCCAGGTCTTTTTGAGTTTTCCGTAAATTGAATGGAACTAGGTATTTTTCGCGTTTTGCACACGGTACCTAAGTTATTAAGCATAAGTTCAGAAAATGATCTAAACTAAGCAGACGTCAACTTCATCCGATCCAAAGGATGTCTCAGAATTACCAGCCATGACCCTAGTCTGAGTATTTCTGAAGCCCTTCCCAATGACTGCTTGTTACTGGATTTGTGTCGGCAGTAAATGAGATACGATGCTCACGTTGTCATTTTTCCACTGCTAATGTTTAATCTTCTATTAATACGCAGCCAGCTTTGTTGAATGCTGCTACTGCTGTTTAAATTTGCCTGTTCTCCTCAGAGTGTACCTGCTGTTGGCTTACGATGAAATGAAGAAATTCCTCGCGCTTCCGTTTCTCCCAGGTGACATGACTTGAAATCAGACGAAATAGCTCGGATGGCCCGTCACCGGTAAACTCAAATTACTTCTTCAGACCTTTTTCGTTCTCACATTTATAGATTTCTCAATTTGACTCTGTTAAGCACTCTTTCCGTTAAGTTCGTAGTGCTCCAAGCCACTTCTGGTCCAGTTCAAAACTTTGGCTAACTGGACAACGACGCAGGAAATCTAACCGTTCCTCTACCTACGGTAATTTTTTAACTTATCTTCCTCACTGACCGGCCTTACTTTTTGCTCGAGCTATAATATCATCATTTATTAATATGCGATGTTGTATCCGCTGCGAACAACAGACGACCTAGTTGACTCAGCCCGACCGTCTCAATGTTGCTAACTAACTTTACGACTACTACATTTAGCCGCCACTGGCCCAGTAAAGAGATTTTCGTGCTGCCGTTGCTTCTCACTCTTGCTTATCTAAGTTCCTTCAGTCCAGCCTGATGCCGCTTGCCGGCCGTCAGATTATTCGATCATCGTCCGTTCGTCACGCGGTTAGGTACGTGGCTCCCGTGGATTCAAAATTTGCCGCGCTAGTTCGACAAGGGAGGGCACGAATGGGCGGAGCCTGTCCGCCACTCCGAACCGGCTGCGTTGGCTCCAGGCCTTTCTCACACATAAAGCTGGCCTTTTTCCCACGCTATCATTTTGTGCCGACATTTCGGACGGACCAGGAGAACTGAACGGGGAGCCAAGCCATTGGCCAGTAGCTCCTCAGCTCGCTGTTTTTTCGTTCATGTCGGTTCGACCGTGACGTCGGTCCATTCGTTGTCGTCCACCGTCGCTGAGCAGTGGCAACAGAAGAAGCAACAGCAAACGCTCTTACTACTACTACTACTACCACTGCTGCTGCTGCTACTGCTACTGCTGCTGCTGCTGCTGCTGCTGCTGCTACTGCTGCTGCTGCTGCTGCTGCTGCTGCTGCTGCTGCCTTTTCGCGAACAGTCGTAGTGAGACTAGCAAGCTAGCTGCTTCCTTCTGCTTGTGCTTGCCGTGCAACAGGGACTCGGCAGTACCGGTGCTCCTCCGTAGGCCATCTGCGCTGCATCCGGAGTACAAACCCGTCGCAGGAGTGCGTACTGGACGCATTAACTTGGTTTTACCACGAGTTGAGCAGGCACACTAGCGAATACGCAGGCACATAGCAAAGCCACTACGACGCGTGTTGAACGTTGCGGAGATACGTTAAAAGTAACGAGAATCTATCCAATGACGATCATTGTATGTTGATCTTTCACTAAAACGTTACCAACTGACAGAGGGAGTTTGGACGGATTTGAACAATAAGCATCGATGCCGATCCTGTCTGAACCGCCCTGCCTACTTCTACTGTTGCGGAGATACAGTGCAAACTCCTGTGATATTGTTCATCGCGCCTCCCGGCCGACCGCGCCTGTGTTGAACAGTCCGCGCTACTCTCATCAAGCTGGACTGTCCGCTCTACAGTATTTTCGTCTGCTACCGCAGCAACAAGCCAGTATATAGCGTGATTGTGTGTGGCGAGTAGCAACAGGGAACGACATCACATGCACTAATTGACAGACAATAACGTACCACACAACTGGACTATTAGAACGGCGGCAAATTCAACCAAGTAGAGCGGTTATGAAACACTAGCCGTCAGCTGTCGCAAAGCGTTTTACGATCACTGGGTGCGTGGAGCTGAGCCAATCGTTCTCCGGCAAGCGTGAGTGCGTATTGCGTTTTTAACCTATAATAGCACCAGTCTGCTAGCATGCTTACAAACGGTGCCGCTGGCAAACCAGTAATAGTAGTAGTAGTAGTAGTACAACTAATTAGAGCGACACCTTTCAAATTGGAACCGAACGTCCGTGTCTGGTATTATTGAGTTGTCGGTGTGTCGGAGTGAACAGCAGCCATCGAAATTAAGTCGACGGACATAACCGACCGCTACTGGCTATTATCTAACGTTCGATTGAGGAGCAATTGTCGTCTTCGTTGTATTATATATACGTTATAGTTTCTCGCCCGTGGTCGTCTGGTTCATCTCAAAGAGATAGAGAGAGAAAGAGAGAAGGCTCCGTTCGAGCGAATAAGCCTGTGTCTAATTTCGAAGTTGTGTGTGCTACTTCGCGTGGCTGATCTTCACCACAGCCGCTGGTGCTGTTGCAATGAACGCCGTGTTCCCTCTCGTAGTACGAGTGTCCAGAGGCGGTTTGCCGTCCCTCATTCCTTTGGTGTACAGTGGCTAAATTACGGTAGTACTTTTTCTAAATTGTTGTTGTTATTGTTGTTGTTGTTGATCTCTGTGTTCTGCCATTCGCTGATATTGTAGCTGCTGTGAAAAACCACGACGACGACGAAGAAGAAACGAGGTAGCCTGCGTTGTTTGTGCGAACCGCAACAGCGCCGCAGGCTCTGCGCCTTGTTTGTTTCGTATGTTTACTTCATGCTAGGACAAATGAGAGTCGCTGTAACACAGCAACAGTAGAACAACGGACCAGCAGCAGCAGCAGTCATAGGGAAACGAACAAGCGCTTTGTTTATGTTTTGGTCAAAAAGGTGATGCTGCTGGTTGTGGTGGTAAAAAGTAAGGAAAAAAAAAGCAAAGAAGACCACTATCTCATCATATCGCACCAACAAAGAGCACACACGAAACGCAGCAGCAGGACTAACACATCTCTAAGGAGATCAAGCAGGCTGCCAGCACACAGGCAGCTACATGAGGTAACAACTGCGGCAGCAGGCAGTAACGACAATCAACAAAGGTTCCCCATAGATCTCGGAACTCCTCTAAAAGCACCGTTAGTGAATTTGTGCAGTAACTTGAATTCTGATCAGCAGCAATAATTTCTGTTAAACTTCAATTACTCAACTTATCAACTTATTTCCCTTGAAAGCCAATCGAAGTATGGACAACGGCAACTACTCAACAACAAAAAGTATTGAGCGACACACGAATTGACCCTTTCAAGGAAAAGAAAGACATCAAAAAAAAAAGAGCAAAGCGAGAACAATTGAAACAAAAAATACACACAAACGAAAGTACATAAAAACGATGAGGGTGACGGCCGTTGTAGTAAATCATTTAAACAGAAAGAACATTTTTCGCGTTTGATTTAAAAGAAAAAAGTTAGCGAAGTACAATTATGTGTAGTAGTGCCGATTTGTGTAGAGATCTATCCGATCCTCTTCACCCTGTGTGACTGTGTGTTAGCCTCTGAAGCTACCAAAGGGTCAAGTGAGCGATTAGAGAAAAACTCACAGCAATCCCCTGTTCCCCGCTTTCCATTGCTTTTTGCATTTCGGCATAATCAGTTTAATTCGAAGCCCACCTTTCCACCGATATGTTTGAATTGTCTAAGAGCTCGACTATTAACCGAAAGTAACACCAGCTAGCCTATATACTTTGTTACCGAAACTATTGTGCCAGCAACAACAAAAGTGCATACCGTGTTAACGTACTCAAGTGGTGCGGGAGTATGAACTGAGTGCGGAGCCAAGTCTTTGGCTAGGGTCAGTGATGGTTATGTAGTGAGTGTTAACGTTCAACAGTGAATACACGACAGTATCAAAACATCTAGTGGCGCGAATGAAAGACGTACCGTGTTATCCGGATGCTGACGGGTTCGCTCGAGGAGTCAACTGCGAAGATTTACCCTGGCCGCTGATTAGGTGGAGTAAAGCAACAGTAAGTTAGACTCTACCCGCCATTGTCTGACGTTAGGTAAAATTGAGCTCGACCTCGAGTTGTCGCGAACGTGGCGGAAATTTGTATCGCGGAGCTCGGGGCCTTGGTCCCCTGGCTATCCGTGAAATAGTTCGATATCCAAGCAATTTTGGCCGGAAACGATTTCGGCCACCCTTGGCAGAGGTCCGCCTGTCGGCGCAATGAACGACATCTATAATAATCATCAACATCATTTGACCGAGGATGCACCCTATGCAGCCACCTATGGCCAGCACGCACCAGTGTCATTACAAAACAATAACTATGACCCCTCGGCGACGGCCTTTACTGCGTACACGATGGCGAGCACAAGTCTGGCTGGTCACCCGCCCCCCGGAAGCCCTTTAGGTTATCCGGGGACCCCTCGAGATCATCACATAGCACTGCTTGGCGACTCATACGCCGGGCCTGACCGCAAACCGCTCGACATGAGCGCTGCCCACCGCAGTCACCCCTACTTTCCTGGTGCCCATTCACCAATGCAACCTTCTCACTACAAAGGCCATCATGGGCCTCCACCAGGCCATCCCGATGAAGCTCCCATGATGATCGGGAGTCTAGCTGGCTCAAACAAGGACAACAGTCTTAACCACAAACAGCATCTATTAGCGGCACCGAAATTGGCTGGCGGACACCTGCCGCCTTCGCCACTACCCAGCCCACCTGTGAGCGCGCTGGCGCGTCGCAAGGAGCAACCATTGACTCGAGAGGCAATGGCACGGTACCTTCGCGAGCGTGGAGACATGGTGTTAGTTATCTTGCATGCGAAGGTAGCGCAAAAGTCTTACGGTAACGAGAAGCGCTTCTTCTGTCCACCTCCATGCATCTACTTGTTCGGCGACGGATGGCAACGGAAACAGGAGCAAATACTGCGGGAGTACGGTGAGAACACCGAGGCAGCCCATCAGGCCTCCCAATTGTGTGCGTTTATCGGTATCGGCAATTCGGAGCAAGACATGCAACAGCTCGACTTCAACGGCAAGAACTATTGTGCAGCCAAGACGCTCTTCATTTCCGACTCCGACAAACGGAAGCACTTCATGCTGTCGGTGAAGATGTTTTATGGAAACGGCGAGGACCTCGGCGTTTTCCATTCAAAACGGATCAAGGTCATTTCGAAACCGTCAAAGAAGAAGCAGTCCTTGAAGAACGCCGATCTGTGCATTGCGTCAGGTACGAGGGTGGCGTTGTTTAATCGGTTACGCTCGCAGACCGTATCGACACGCTATCTGCACGTTGAGAATGGAAACTTCCATGCGTCATCGACACAGTGGGGCGCGTTTACAATTCACTTACTCGACGACGACGAAAGCGAAAGTGAAGAGTTCACCGTGCGCGACGGGTACATCCATTACGGGTCGACGGTGAAGTTGGTCTGTTCGGTGACAGGCATGGCGTTGCCACGTCTAATCATTCGTAAGGTTGACAAACAGACCGCGCTGCTTGACGCTGACGACCCGGTGTCGCAGTTGCACAAGTGCGCCTTTTACATGAAGGACACTGAAAGGATGTACCTCTGTTTGTCGCAGGAGAAAATCATCCAGTTTCAGGCGACGCCCTGTCCGAAGGAGCCCAATAAGGAGATGATTAACGACGGGGCCGCCTGGACAATCATTTCGACCGACAAGGCTGAGTACACGTTCTTCGAGGGAATGGGCCCGGTGAGAAGTCCGGTCACACCGGTACCCGTTGTCACTTCGTTGCACCTCAACGGTGGTGGGGATGTCGCCATGCTCGAGCTGACCGGCGAAAATCTTACGCCAGATCTCAGGGTGAGTGCAGGATACCTTAGAGTTTGCTTATGATCAGAAGGGATTGCCAATGCAAACTTAAGCGTTTTTTTTTGTTGCTTCTATGGCCAGCGACGTTGTGACACATTTAAAATAGTTTTGCTAGTTCAACGTTTATATATTGATTGTATTGAGCGTAGCATACTGGAGGTGTTGAAGGCTTCCAACTATGCGCTTATATATTTCGAATGACGTCTTATTGCCTATAGATTATTGGCGTTAAACTGCATTGTATTCCATATATTCGTATATGTTTGGACACTTCTCTTCAACAAACATTTCTATTTCGCGTCAGAGCCCCGAGAAACCCAAGCTTAATTATCCAGCTCAAGAATTATGCAATGAAATACAATACGCATGGATTTACTAACTTGTTTTCTGTATGCGCTTCTCAGTAAATATGCTTATTGCGTCTCTAACTGAAGACACCCTAAAAACGAGTAATCTCCTAACTAACTTCAATTCCTAACATATTTTGTTCTACCTTTTTTTTTTGTTGTGAACTTTTCTTTGTCGACCTATTATTTTCCCATTGTGTTTCATAATGACGGTTATTGTTCTTTCTACATGGTCCTGCAGGTGTGGTTCGGCGACGTGGAAGCTGAGACGATGTATCGTTGTCAAGAAGCGATGCTTTGCGTGGTACCTGACATTTCAGCGTTCCGAGAGGGGTGGCAATGGGTCCGGCAGCCGACACATGTGCCCGTGAGCCTCGTAAGGTCTGATGGTAAGTAATTTCATTAAGCAGCAGACGCCAATGCAATTTTAGTGTTCAGTTCTCTTCGACATTGTCATTATACTCTTTATCTTAGCAAGGCCAGTGTCTTCGCGCTTCGAGTGGCCGTGGTTCAACACCAGAATTGTGGCCGGTCGCCCAGTAAAAGCTGTGTTGTAAAAGGCAGAAATAAGACATACATATGTAGCTTGGTTTATCTGCATTTTTTTACTATTCCAGGTACATTTATGTTATTATAATTTCCTTTGACGAAATCGCAAGTGTTTCATGGATAAAAAAATAACCTTTATTTTTTTATCCGTTTGAGTTTCTCCCAAAATAAAGAGATATGTTGGGCCAACGTTTATTTATATGTCTATACAGAAGTAACAGGGAAAATTTGATACGGGGTTCTCGTATGTTCAAGTTCGTAGCTAACGTAAGGAACATATAGAATCGTATATACAGCTGGGCTAAATAGTTTGAAGTGTATTTGAAAGGCCTAATAAAGTTCGGCAAAAGGTGAGATTCACAAACATAATTAGGCATCGTTAAAAAGCGTATTTAAATATATTAACTCAAAATGATAATCCAGTAAACACTGACCTAAAAGCTAGTTCAGTGTAATAACCCGAGATGTTGACCTAATTAAACTAAGTGCTTTTGGATTGATCCATCTGTCTTTCATTTGTCAAGGGCCGACGCGATTGGCGATTAAATACCGTAACAGCTAAAATGATTCAGATGATAGTGTCATTGTTATATTATAAACGTCTTGTGGAGTCTATTACTTTCAGCGTGACATGTTCGGGAAGCCGTCTGCGAAATAGCGCATTGTTCGTGACAAATCCCTAGAAACTGACTCATAGACTAGTATAAATAAACAATTAGAAATTTTTATATGTATATACGTATATGCCAACTTTTTACTAAGTAGTGAATAGCATGCCGGTCACCGCTAGATCTTACGTTCAAGTCGTCTTACGCTTTAAGTGGCTTATGACGCTAATGAATTCCTAGGAACTGATGATAGATACTTGTAAGGGTCGTTTTGATAACTGGAATTCAATCATTGACGATTGGCTGAAAACCGATTATTTGGTCTAGTTTCTGATTTCCCCACGGTTAAGTTTCTTTTAACAGGTTATGATTCATAGACTAATCAATAATAATAGCAAGAAGCTATAGTAGGCCAGATTCGATATTACTACATGGGAACAGTTTATTTATAACTATTATTATGTATGAATACAGCTTAGCAGTTTCGGAAATGGTTTTATACGCGCATACGTACATGCCGTCTTATCTCTACTAATGAGTAGTGCTGTTTACGTGCATGTGTCTGCTCGTCTTTGTTCGTGTTTGCGTTCGCAGGTATCATATACTCAACTGGTTTAACGTTCACGTATACGCCCGAACCCGGACCCCGTCAACATTACCCGTGTGTCGAGGACATTCTCAGGCCCCAGGGCAACCCTCATTCTCCGCATCCCGACGAAGTTCAGCAACAGCTCTCGAATCAGCAGACAACTGCCAGCAACCACTACATGCATCTGCAGTGAGTTGGACGCCACTCGACAGAAGCTCGGAGCAACAATAGCAAGAAACAAACAAATAAAACTAAGCCAGTCGTAGATATGTGAGGTTAAGAGATTTGAGCGACCCTCCAGCAGAACGCCCCCTTGAAGAGTTCTCAAAGTAATGTAGGCTGCTGACGAAGGCGCTCACGATCGCCATATTCAATCATCTGGATCCTGCGACCAAAATCTCTCTTAAAGGAGAGCTTCTGAAAGAGCTGAAGTCTTGGTGAAGCTGTCCACGCTACGGCTTGTGAAGTGGCTGCTGTTGGTTGGGCTACATCATGTTGTAAAAAAAACAATTCGTACAAAGAAGAAGAAGCGAAACACATATAACAAAGCAATGAATCAATGAGACTCCATGAAGTTCGCGGGAGTAAAAAGCATTTATTAGTAACTGCTGAACTTTGACGGCACGGTCGGGTCAGAGGGCTGCTTTGATGTTGCGCAGTGAGGACCACAACAACAAGCACTAAATAAAAAGGAATTGTTAATGTTGAAAAAGAAGATGCTAGTGTGTCCCATTACAGGCCATGTTGATTGATGAAGGATGCGCCCCGGCCATGTGAAGACAGTTGTGCCCCGAGTAGCGAAGTTCAGAGGTGCATGCCTCTGTTGGGCAAGAACTGCGTTGTTTTTGAAAAACAAAAGGCTACTGTATGGACTGAACATGGGTCGCTTAGCGACGGACGTCGATCCCAGAACGACAACTCGAAGCCTCTGTCTCATACCTTTGCGGCTAAGATCATATCAGCGAAAGGGCGCATCATATTAGAGTCGGACCAGCTTTGCGCATTGGATTGGCAATGCCCTGGACAAGGACTGAAGATCTATTTGCGGGGGATTCCAATCCAACTGCTCACCGATCGGCGGTGCTTAGTCGAGGTGTCTCACGTAGTCAAGGATATTTCGCAGAATTCCGTTTAAATCGCCGCGACCGCATATTTTTCTTATTGAAGTAGATTTATTTTTATTTATCAATTATTAGTATTGATTATTATTATTATAACACAAAATGATCGTGTTTGTCGTTCATGATACTCATTGTAACGGCGATGATGACGTTTGGTGCGGCAGTGATAAGTAGGCCACAATGTCTATGAATAATGGATCGTACTAATTATTTAATTAGCGAGTAAGCGACAGACGAGTGAACCGCTCCCTCAACAATTTGATTGCTGATCTAGCATTAATCCTGCAGAATAGTATCAGAAAATGATTGAGCTGGTTGTTCATCTTGCACCCGGTGAACGTGGGTTATTTGCTTCGATACACTAATGACGACGTACGATTTTTTCAAATCCGGATCGGACAGAAACGTATTAAAGGGAGAGAAATTAGTTGACAGCAAAGCCTCATCGGCAAGCACAGGGCACAATATTCTCTACTGCGTTTCACAATCACAAGTCGACATATACTTACAGACTCATAAATGCGCTTGGATGCGTGTATGCGTCTCTATTGTGTTGTATAATGTAATTGAGCCATGTATATAGTATAGAGAAAAAACAGTGCACCCGTAATGGCATAATAATTATGTGTAACAGTCAGTGTATGCAAACGGGACGGTGTTGTGGTAAAAAAACTATTTATTCTAATTGTGAAACACAGATAGAGCGAGGGCGGAGAGGAAAAAGACACGTCTGAACGAATGAACTCTGTGTAAAAGCGAGTGACCTAAAAAGTTTATCACCATAAATCGTATACATGCCTCGAATAAAGGCTAAAACTAAGGTGTGATTTAGGCGTCGTAACAGATATAGAATTGAGCGCATACGGAAATGTGCATCAGTGGTTGAAATTTACGCGGTGTTCTCACTGTAAAGGTTGTAGAGTATATTAGGTCGTTTCAAATGGGCAAGAGCAAAGAGCTGGGAAAGCAGTGAACCAGAAAGTGTCGAAAAGGAAAAACCGATATAATCGTAATACGTGTGCTCTCATCTCGCTCTGATTTTAATTGCTAACACGAGAGAGAGAAAATATATTGTTATCATAATTTAAACAATTGACTGACAGTGTTAAGTTAAGCGCATCTCTCTTCAGCTCGAAAAGCAGCACGGACCAAAATCGGTGTATAAAACTATATATAAATATATACAGAGAAGAAATATATATCTACACATCAATTTACATTATTATATACGACAAAAAATAATGAGGAGAAAAGCAAACAATTGGTGTTGTACGTATTGCCCTTATAATTACATGTCTCGCTATTAGTTAGGGAATTAGAGGAAAAAGTCAGCTACAAGGTTGAGATACGAGTATATGAGAAGTGACTAGCACTGGTGTCACCGCCGTACAAGAAGATCGTTGTCTCAATTATTTTCTGGATAATCACAAATGTCTTCATGTGCGTTTAAAAAGCCAACGGTATTTAGCCCCCGCATCTGCTAGGTTTATCCAGGGATGAGTGAAGGCTCGACGATTGCCATGAGCTCGTGAAACGATGCTAGAAAAATGGGCTTAGGGGCAAATGGGAGCAGGTTTTGCTTTCTTTCGCTAACGGATGTGATTCATCTGGAGAGATGGCCAGGTCACGGGTCCACGTAACTGAGCAAGACAAAAGTGGCAACATCGGTTTGCAAATGACGGCGAATCACCTTGCAGCGTGTAGTTGGTTTATCTCAGATTGAAGAAACGTTTTCTTCCGGTGATTCTGGTAATTACTGTTTAATTGTTGTAAATATATATAAATAATACTATTTGGATTTATGATGTGTTTGACGGTGAAGCGGGTAAACGAGCGGAAACAAAGAGCAGAAATTGGTCGCCAATTAATAGCAGATGAATAGTTATGTGTTTGTGTACATATTTCACAAGGGAGTAGTTGAATCATTAATTGACTAATTAATTACCAGATTAATATTAAGATTTAATTATTATAGAATAAGTAATAACAGCAAGCATTGCGTAAAGCGGCGAGAAGCTGCAATTTTGTACCTGTTGGAATGGCGTTGACTATAATGTCCGTGGTGATCTTGAACAAACAATGAGAACCGTTGTGTATTTCTATAAATATATATATAAACAATTATATATGAAAGGATACCTTTTTATAAAAACACAAACAGACACATGCTGAGAGGACAATAATAAAGGAAACTCTTAGATTTACTAGCTAATTTTGCGAAAAGTCGTGTATTTCTTTAAATATCAATATGACTTAGTTGTTTTTCAAACACATTTTTCCCGGTTGCGTGTAAGAGATGGCAAAAACACATTCTTCAAAGTAACTTCTTACCATTGTTCTTTAGGAGTACCTTGATAATAAACGGCTGGACCTAGAAGTGATGATAGGAAAGCCATACTAAATTGAATTCTAATTTTATCTCAGTTAGTCAGAAATAGATAAAACACGCCTCACATATTCAGTTTTAAGCCCAAGATTGGGCTGATTTCATAGTGTTTTTTTAAATCCGTTAAAAATATCAAGATTCCTAATATAGTTAGCCCCTGAGTTAATGGTTTAGAAATCCAAAGCGATAACTATGCCTTGTTTACTTTATTCTGTGAAAGTTAGCGCCAAGGTTACATCGCAGGTAAGCACACAGCATGTGATTATAAACCATTATTGAAAGATCTTTCTTAACACATATCAACATACAATTCAAATAAGCCTGGGCATTGTTCCTGAAAGCCGGTTCGGCCTTTTACTATTTACAGCTCTATCATGCGATCTAGGTAAAGAACGGTCAAACTGGCAATATCAAATCCAGTTTAACTTGAATTTTGAAAATTTACCAACTGGAGGTCGACCGAATTTCGGGCCGTGAGGGTCACATTATTGGCTAAGGTCACGGTAAAGTTGCCAAAATAATTACTTTGCACATATTTAACTTATTATATTCCAAAGACCTCTCTATGGTATATAATAAGCCCATATGCATAAAGAGACAAGCTGTATTCTGATGAGTAACTCTAGGATCCTTTTTTCCTGTATATCTTCTGCATTGTTAGTCTAAAATTATCTACGTCTTTCCATTTATAATTAAGATATCAATGAACACTCTTGTATCTTCATATTTCTGTTATATGAGTATAGAGGCATATATACAAAGATGTTGAAATGAATATATCATAGTTGCTATAGGCTTAATTATCTTTCGCGTACCAAAAAACCTTATCCTAATAGATTATATCAGCGTCAATATGTAATTTTTAGTACTGTCAGATGATATGTATGTATTGACACCTTGGTGCTAAATTAGTTTCGAAACAGCTAATAGTTGTCATTGTAATTTTTTTAATGGTTTAGAAGCGATTGTGAAAAATCGACAAGGACTTTTCAACTTTATTTTCAACATATGAAATATATTTATTTACAAAAGAACCGAATTTAAACTGGGACCCAAACATAAATTTATTTACATTCCTTATATTTCGACCAAAACATAGGTAACATCGAAAATAATTTCACGTAGATCAAGAAATAATTTTCTGTACTATCGCACAGATTGCTTGGTTATAGAAAAGTCTTATACATTTACTATATTAACCTTATTCTTAGTCATGCGTAAGTTAAGCTTAAATAAAAAAAAAAAAGGTAAATGGGTTATATTAAAGCTCCTGCACGAATTACAGTCAATGATTTACTTAGTGTGCACTTCATCTTACCCCTCAAAACAACTTTTTGGTCAATTTGTATCCTATTTAAGAGTCATTGTATTGCACACAACGACTTTAAAGCCCAGCGACGCTACCTAGCTTTCGAAAATCCAGATTGGCAAAAATACCAGCTGAATTCATCGATACGGCGTTAATTGCCGAAGGTTCGTGATCTTCTGCTACCTGGTACCCTCGGAAACACAGTTTGTCGACTAAAACGCCTGGAAACTGCTCCTCGTGAAAAACTTTATCATGTACTGGTTCATAGTGTAGTCGAGGTGCGTCAACTGCCTGTTTCACGTTTTTGCCAAGGTAAAGGTTCTGTATCGCTACCTGTGCCTGTCCAGCTGTAATTCGGTTACCACCCGAACCACCAAGGACCAAGCGGGGCGTTCCGTCAATATCCACAAAAATTGCCGGGACCATCGAAGACATTGGGCGCTTTCCAGAGGCTACGGCGTTTGAGCCATACACTTCGACGCTGAAGTCCGCCATATGACTGTTTAAAAGAATGCCAGTTCTCGGCGACAAAATGAGTGAACCAAATTTTTTATTTATCGAGCTAGTGGCAGCAACAGCGTCCCCATTTGAGGTGAGCACGATCGTATGCGAAATGCCACGTTCTTCCTTTGGTGGATAGTCAAATGGTACACGATAGCATTCTGACGAATGAGTTACATTGTAAATGGAATGACGGATCTGCTCAGCGAACTTTGTTGACATTATGTAATCTAGCATTGTTTGGTTTTTAAGAAACGTCTGGTCGCCAAGATTTGCTTTGGCGATGTACCCAACCTTTAAACTTTCGATTATGTTATGGAACATTTTGGAAGCACTACGTACATCCGAAATATTTTTAGCTGAAAACCGGTACCCGTCTAGAATACTTAAGATTAAAGATAGAATCGCGCCATTTCCTGGTAATGGTGGGCTATATAGAGTTACGTTTGCTTGCAATAGATCTTTGCGCAAGGCCTCACGTAACTCCGCTTTGTACGCAAAAAGGTCCATTAATCGCAACCTAGCTCCCTGGCGAGTAAGATCACTAATGAGTTGTTTGCCAAGGCTTCCTCCATAGAACGCAGCTGCTTTTTCGTCGCGGATTAATTCTAAACTGGCTGCCAATTCAGAGCAGGTCATGATTTCACCCTCGACAAAAATCCGTCGCTTCTCTTTATTGAAGTACGCCAATCGAAGATTGGCATTGCTACTGATCTCGTTCCGTTTATTCGCGAGTGCATTGGCTAGCTCTTTGGTCACAGGAAACCCCTTCCTACAAAGATCGATTGTGGGCTGAACGAGCTGCTTCCAGGGCATCCTGCCAAACAGGCTGTGGGCCTTTTCGTATGCGCTAAGTTCGCCGGGAACCGCTATAGACAAAGCCCCGGTAGAGAGACGGTCTTTAGGAAAGAGTTCGCTGCCTATAGGTGCAGTTTCTCGGCCGTCAATAATGAATGCTGTTTTCGTTGTGTGATTGTAAATCGTGAAAATTACCCCTCCTCCAATACCCATAGCATGCGGGTGTACGGCGCCGTTGCACAATAGGGTGGCAATAGCAGCATCGACTGCCGAGCCACCCTTTGCAATTACGTTCGCTCCGATAGGCGCACAATAATTCACATCTGAGACGACGACATAGCTCTTGAACTGTCTCAATGGACTGCTCGAAGCTGGAACTGTTAGATTGCCGTATGCTGCTCGTTTCCTCGCCAAAGCTGGCAAGCCAAATCCTATTGTAACGCAGTTTAACGCTAGAAGAGCCGCAAAGATGCACGACACGATGACACAGTCTTGGCACGTCAGATTCGTTGTTACTGCATTAGAGCCCTGAGCATCACTTTCAGTCTCTTGGCCCTGTCGTTCGTCTTCAACAGTACCATAATGACGAGAAGGTCCAGCCTGACTCTGGACTAAACTGCACGCCTCTGGTGATACCATTTTTCCCATCTACCTTAAAGACCCATTATTATATCAGCACGATTACTGGGCAGGAATCGGAACACGAATAGTACTAAAAGAGCTTACAGATTAACGGTGCGCTTGAAGACGCCAATGTCGCTGTCAACATATTCAACTGGTACGTATCAATGGCATAATGCAGGTAAATTTGTACGATGGTTCTACGGACGGCCTTATCGTTCGTCACAACCCATCACGTTTTTAAGGCAGTTGCGATATCACTCACATATTTTGTTAAGTTCTATTTGCACGTGGAGTGTTAACGTGCGTTTGCTCGTAAAATTCATTCTACACGTTGTCAGCAATGGTTGTGTCAGGCTACGAAGATGCTTATTGGTAAGATAAACCAACTTAGCAACAACTTCTTTGTCGAGTGTTTCGACACTTGAAGAGTGAACATTTAAAGGGTTTATGATGCCCATGCTGCTACTTTAGCTCTGTCCCTATAGCTGTTTAGTTTAACAAACAAAAGGTGGATTCATCATAAATCCGCTCTATGACAAAATTGATTGCAGAAAACAATGCCGATGTATGCAGCTCTATGTTACATCACCTCGATATTGTCGATAATATAGCAAGTAGCTGATGAGCGTCTCGTCGTTATCTGTTCACTTCAAGGCTCGCTCGAATAGAGAGTACAAAACGAAATATCGGCTCTTGTTATTATTAGAAATAGGAATAAGAATGGTAGAAGTAAATTAGCTGCCCACCAATACAGTGTCGCGTACTTCATATGATATCGAAGCAGATCAGTCGTTGGCTATATTGCTCCATATACATATACGTTTATTGATTGTTGTTATCGAGGTGCTGCGCGTTTTCCCACGACGGCACGCGTTTCATAGCAGCATTAGACATAGAACGCGCATACAAACCGATAGAGCCACCCGACCATTCATGATACCCGCCCCAGTTCTCTCTGTTACTTACGATGTGCTCAAGGCGCAACCGCCATCTTTCTTTGGTTGCTGCGACGAATTGTACGTAGCTGTGAGTAGAAAGCGACAAGCCTAGCGGCGCCCGCCGATATGGGCTCGTTTAGCCCCGAATCTTCCAGTGGGGTCTGCCCGTTATCTCAACGAGTAGAATAGGAAGCGGCAGGCCGTCGCTTAAACGAGTTGTCTATGGAAACAGATACCGATTCACTAGCAACGCCAACGGCTGCTGCGGCCTTTTATTGTCGAATGGGCTGCTGATTTGACCTGCGATTGTGAGTGCGACCTGCTGGGGATGAGCGACACAACCGGAACGCAAACAGAAAGGCGAGGGGTACAAGAAGAGCAGGGGTGTCGTGGGAAAGTCTTTTTGTTTGGGGGCCCCCAATGCTCATGGCATCGGTGCAGATCATGTGCTCGGAGTATTGTAAAGTGATAGGCTGTATCTGAGCTGTACACAAAGAACTGGGCCAGCTAGTTACCTAGCCTCCCATGTGTAGAAGAGTATTTGAAATACACAATGCTTACGGTAATGATCGTAAAGTAACAAATAACAGTGCCAGCAATAAGAACGTGCAACAATAATCAGCAGTTAATAGAGTTATACCTAGAAGCGACTTCATTAAGACCGACATTTTTTGTTGTTGACCGACATTTCATTGTTGTGACGTGCCAAAATTGCTATTGAATAGTGTAATAATTAATAACACACAACTTTTTGATGTCACACGACAAATATTTCAGTACAATAGATGTGGTGTATAATGATAATTATCTTAGAATACGGACTGCTTTATAACGCGTTTAAATGTATAGTGTATAAGGGTATATCAATGATAAGGGAGGCATCTTATTTTTTCATTGTGATTTTTTCATTCTGTCAAGTTCTGTGTCTGCTCAATAGAAAATATCTAGTTTTATACTTCTATATAGTGTTCTTTTTTAATCATAATTCTTGTCATTCTTTTTGTTAAATACTTTCTTCTTTGCATTCAGTTTATGTGCCGCGAAACTAACTTTTACTATGTAGGTAACTGCTTCGGTTCTCCTCAACCTTTCTCAATAGTTCGGGCCAAAAAATCGATTCTTCAGTGAAATATCGGAGTGTTTATGCAACATAATTAGCAAGCCCTATTTGTTTTCTCTTTCGAATTGCTTACCATCTAGCGTTTACTGCATAGATTTAAATAGGTTGTAGTCCGGTGAAAAGTCTGGACTATCATTCTTCTACGAAAGAACTCGCTCGAAATCTATCTGAGTTCTAGGTTTCTGAGACCACTCAGATTTGTTTTGCGACAAGGATCACTGCGCGTGACTCTCTACTCACCCCAGGTATTTTATGCCAGTATTTCGACAAGTGGAGTGAAGTTGCGGTCTGCCTGTATTATTTCACTGGGCTTAAGTAGCTTTTAGATCGCAGCAAATCCTCTAAAGTTTCGATCTGAACGGTTACCTGGAATTTATCCTCCTCTGCTTGCTCTAAGGATTATCATAAGCGATCCACTATCGGTGGCGATCTCACGTGGAAATGATCTGTTATCGTTTCTCGTCTCTTAAGCAACGCAGTGGATAGTGATAATGCGTTGGTTTAACTTCGTGCCCATTTCTAGCCGATCGGGTCAAGTTTTTTTTTCGACAGAGCCTGCAGTCTTGTTCACCTGCCAGCGATAGCTCTCCAAAGCACGATTAGTCCTTCAAATCGAAACCTGCAGCATTAAAACACTGAAACGAGCTAGTTCAAAGGTATATATTGCGCATCTTCCTTTAATTCTAACCATAATCATTGTTGCCTTAACGATTCGTGTTTCGCAGGCCAGCGTGATATATGCAGATTTTTGATACCGTAATTTGCTCACACAAAAACTATTTATTGCTAACGAAATCAATCAAGACCTGAACAGTGCCAGCACTGACAATCCTGGATCGAAAAGGAGTATAATACGCTACAAACGCGACCGACGAATAGAATGTACGGCCGGGGCAATTTCGAAAATTTCGGAATTTTGTTTTTGTAGGCCTAATACTACTATGATGTAAATATCAGACCCACCGTTTCGAAATCATCTAAAGCTAGACATGAGCGGAATGTTTGGTCGAGTACAAGCATAAATAATGAACTATCATCTTCTATTATGTTCTTATCCATATGATTATCTCAAATGCTATCTACGCTGTACTTCTATTTTTGATTGAAAATTCTTCCCAATAGGTAGCAACTTCTATTAATAGTGATATGAATGCACCCCCTCCTAATCTGATCCTGTGCCTATATATTGGTCCATTCGACTATATAATGAATAAGACCGTTGCAAAATTGACACGTTTTGTTATCTTGGTGGGAGCGTATTGAGAAATATCTTCGACCACTTTGAGTAATAGCTTGAATGAGCTTTTATGCTGAAAAGAATCAAAGTTGCTTTAATATTACGCGCACATCCGTCTAGTACCGTTTAGTGTTTGTAATGTAAGCACTGCTACTTTATTCGGAAATGTCCGGTGTCGTAAACCGAACGAATTTTTTTCTTATAGTATATAACTTATGGTACCCACTCATTCGTCGTGAAGAAGTTCTTTTTATTCGGGTCAGCATGTTAGACTATCTAAAAGAAGAACTTGGTACAGGTACCTTTGCCAGGCGGCTTATCATTATAGTCAACCAGTAAACCCGAAGATTCCGTAATTAGAACGTAATTCATTATTGTGCTCCTATTTATTGTATTGATTTGGATAGGTAAGAACGCAAGCTGATAAGCGCTTTATATGTAAAACGTTTTAAAGTATAGTAGATTTTTCTTGCCAAAGGGCAGTATATAAATAAATGTTTCTTACCTTATTTTTTTATAGAAACAATTTAGTAATTCTAATAAACGCACAAATCTAGCAAGTACAACTGTTTATTCCAAATCTGATTAGTTTTCCCCGAGTCACTGTGTTCCTTTTTTTTTTCGCTTAAATTACGTTTCTGTCTTTTTGTTACTGACACACATTTTTTTGTGAACGACTTTGTAGACGCGTTCAAGAAAGTGTTCTTTAAATATCCTTCTCTTTTTATTCTGACATGATGGAGCAAGCATGATCAGGCTTGTCGCGTTACACTGTCCTTCTACAAATACAGTTGGCACTGATAATACACACAACTGTACTAAGGTTTGCGGCACTGCTAGCTGAAGTCGGCGCTTGTTCACCGCGCTTCAAGGTAGTTGCTGCAGGGCTAGTAAGACAGATAGTTGGACCTGTCGGGGCTATAGGAATTGGCTCTTTATGACTGTCCAGTATTCTGCATAGTGCAATATAGTGGACGCGATTTGCCCGCTCGTTTCAAAAGTCTCGTGGTGGTATCGATGATCTCCACGGCCGTTTACTGTTTTTTCGACTGATTCAGTAATTGAATGATTTGCTGGTGCTTCTTGGTCGTTGGTTCTTTTGTTCCTCGGTTGCCAACGCCGCCATTGGCGTGGCCATGCTCTCTCTCTATACACAGTCGACTGTCGGCCGCCAGACTTGGCGTGCTTGTCGCACCGACGCTGCAGTGCTGCCACCCAGCACCGCTATCACCTCCGCGTTTCACACAGACACGACGAGGTGTGGTGCGGCAATCGTGGCGCGTCGTGGCCTAATGAAGTGCCTCTCGGCGGCGTCCGTCGCTCATCGCAGGGGGCTAGCGTGCGCCCGCCACTGTTGTTGCTCGGTTCGAGCGAGTTTTCCGAACTGCCCTTTCAGCCGTTGCTTCCAGCGATATTAGCAATGCTGGTGGCATGGCCGCAACTCAACCCGCTGGTGTCTCATGGCAACGATAAGACAGTCAAGCTGCTTGACTGGGCCTGACTTGTTCATTCGCGTTCGCTTGTTCCCTCGGCAGTGGCTGACTGCCGCACAGCTGGGTAGTCGTTGTCCAGCCACCGGCTATATGAAGTTGTTTCTCCTCAAGCAAAGCTTTCAATGACGACACACAAGGAGATAGAAGGTTTTGCTTCATCTATTAATGATATCATTCACACGGCTCACTCTCATGGAGACGCGTAGCAATGCACTCATACACAGACACACACCTCACACAGGCACAAAGCATAAATATGAACGCGGACGCAGGGAATTAGCGTCACAAGCAGATGAAGGGAAACCGGCCAGAGCTTCTCGTTGACGACGGTAAGAGCGGCGGCAGCTGTAGCAGCAACAACAGCAGCGGATTCAGCTGCAACATATACTAAAATCGCGGATAACTGTGTGAACACGGACAGAAA